ATGTTTGAAATGCCCTTAGTAAAATAACTTATTTGCAACTACAAATATGTCCTTTTGGCCGTTTATTTCCCTTTCGAACAACACTAATCAGTTATATCAAAAATTGGTTACACCTAACTCGCCCGATTAAGCATCCCAAAATATTATTGGATTTGAAGTTGTAGATAATTGGAAGTTAGCAGATCATTGGACTTGAAGTTGTATATCTCTTAAATATTATCTGGCAAGTGATTTATGAGAATATGCTTATTGTTATCTCAACAATTACTTTCCGCAAAACAATTATGACATGTCTTGAAAAATTGTGACATGGCTTAAAAATAAAAGACATGACAAGGATCATAACAAAATCTTGTATAGCTAAATTTATATTTTTTTTCACAACTAAAGCAAGATAAATTTAACTAATATTTTTCTTTTTCATTTAAAACTGTTTAGAAATTAATTTTTGTTACAATCAAGTTTTATTTATATCAATTTTATTTTTACTGAAATTGATAATAAAAACTTACCAAATTTTTAAAAGAGATTTTATCCTAAATTTATAAAACAATATACATCTTTTCTGATTTATTTTAACAAAAGAAAAATAGTGTACAAACCAAAACATTAAAAAAGGTTTTGTAATCAATTTACTTTGGCTTTAAAAAAGTTGTGACATGATTTGAAAATAATAATTTGGCTTAAGAAAAAATAACATGGCATATTTGAAACATAACGAAATTCTTTACAAGATCTTCTATATCTAAATTTATATTTAGTCCATAAATAAAGCAACATAAATTTTTACAAATATTTTTATTATATTTTTCTATTTTCATTAAAAAATTGTTCAGAAATTATTTTGTCACGATCAAGTTCTAGATTTTATATCAAATTTTTTTTACTGGATTTTATAACAAAGAGCTTGCAAATTTTCAAAAGAGATTGAATCCCTAATTTATAAAACAATATACGTATCGTTTTGATATTTTTAACACAAGATAAATAGTGTACAAACCAAAACATTAAAAATAGGTTGTATTAAAGTTACTTTACAATGTTTTACTGATTTAACGTAGCATATTTTGTCGTTTGTCTATAGCATCCATTCTCTAAGAGTTGGGGAAATATAGTTATCTTTTTGTTCCTCTTTAAAAAGACAAAAATTAAGAAGAAAAGTTTTTATTTATATACATATATATGTTTCAGGCTGTTGCAAATGGTAATAGAATCATTGACTACATCAATATAATCTAAGTAACGATCCATACATACATATTAAAGGAGATGATCACTTATATAAAGTCATCTAATATTTGACAAAGACAACGATGGATAAGTTTAGTCCATAGAAAAATAGCAAGACTTAGAACTTTTTAAAGGCATCAATGTAGAGATACTCAACACATGTTTAAAATAACGGATGAGTTGGATTCAATAATGAATAAATATGGTGGAGATTAAGCTAGCATCGAAATATGATATTTTATTTAAATTTAACATATAATTAATTTCCTTAATTATTTTACAAAATCATTTAGTCCATGAATAATGTATGAAAATCTTTACTTAGCTAATTAAAACAATTTTATATTTCACAACAAAATTTGAAATTCATTTCATACTCGTGAATATCGCGGACGAGTCACCTAGTGCATAAAGTTAAGAGTTTAGATTAAGAGCGGCTGATGTTTGGCTACATAATGTTGGTACCTCTTATATGGAAAATGATTTGTGAGGGTTTGCTTATATGTCATCTTTACTTTCATTTTTACAAATACAAAGATGACATGGCTTAGTAAAATATGACACGGCAAATTCCATATATATTATTTGGGAAGTGATTTGTGAGAATTTGTTTATTTGTCATCTTCACATTCACTCTAACGAAAGAAAATATGACATGGCTTAGAAAAAGATGACATCAAAAATTAAAATCATGACAAAGTATTTTACAAAATAATTTTATATTTTTTTCCATAAATAAAGTAAAATAAATTTTAACCAATATTTAATAATATTTTTGGTTTTCATTTAAAAACTGTTTATAAATATTCTATAATGTTTTCGTTTTCCACTTTCACTCTAGAATGTGCTTAAATATCAACTCGACAATTAACATTGACAAAAAATATATGACATGACAAACCATTTATTATTACGAGGCAAAACACTTATTCT